CTTAATTGGGGTAGTCTGGAACTGAAGCTCTGCAATATCTAGGGTATGCCGATATTTAATGTCTTGTCTTTTGTCAGTTTTTGACTAAATTTTATTTTGTCTAATCCTAGTATAAATATCACAGCTCTTTTGGTTACAATTTCCATGGACTATCTACTTTTAAACTACTTGTCCTAAAGTTTTGAGTTTCTTCTAGAGAGTATATAGTTTGATCCTATGTTTTAAAAATCTATTCTGCCAATTGATTTGCTTTTGGAATTTTAATCCATTTAAGCCCATGTCCCTCACAGACCCACGCTTCCCTCCGACCACCTCTCCCTCAGATCAATGCCTGCCTCCTCTGCTCTCCCCCATCAGACCCAAGCCCCCTCAGTGGCCCTCCCTGCTCAGCCCCACGGCCCTCTCAGCCCTGCCTCTCCCCCCCGGCCTCCCCCCGCCGCCTACCCCTCGCCTCACCCCCCGCGTCCCCCCCACTCCCCTCCGCCTCCTCCCCCGCCTCCTCCCCGCCTCCTCCCCCGCCTCCTCCCCCGCCTCCTCCCCCGCCCACCTCCCCCCACCCCTCAGCCTCGCCTCCCACCTCAGCCCCGCGGCCCTCACCTGGACCCGCTTCAGCCCTGCCTCAGCCCTGCCTCAGGCCTGCCTCAGCCCTGCCTCAGCCCTGCCTCAGCCCCGCCTCAGCCCCACCTCAGCCCCACCTCCCCACTTAGCCCCACGGCCCTCACCTGGACCTGCTTCAGCCCCACCTCCCCCGTCAGCCCCACCTCCCCCGTCAGCCCCACCTCCCCCGTCAGCCCCACCTCCCCCGTCAGCCCCACCTCCCCCCTCAGCCCCACGGCCCTCACCTGGATCTGCCTCAGCCCCACCTCCCCCCTCAGCCCAGCGGCCCTCACCTGGACCTGCTTCAGCCCCACCTCCCCCCTCAGCCCCACCGCCCTCACCTGGATCTGCCTCAGCCCCACCTCCCCCCTCAGCCCCAACTCCCCCCTCAGCCCCACCTCACCCCTCAGCCCCACCTCACCCCTCAGCCCCACCTCCCCACTCAGCCCCACTGAGCCCCACCTCCCCCCTCAGCCCCATTCCCCCTCAGCCCAACGGCCCTCACCTGGATCTGCCTCAGCCCCACCTCACCCCTCAGCCCCACCTCCCCACTCAGCCCCACCTTCCCACTCAGCCCCACCTTCCCACTCAGCCCCATGGCCCTCACCTGGACCTGTCTCAGCCCCAGCTTCCTACTCAGGCCCACAGCCCTAACCTGGACCCGCCTCAACCCCACCTCCCCCCTCGGCCCCGCCTCCCCCCTCGGCCCCGCCTCCCCCCTCGGCCCCGCCTCCCCCCTCGGCCCCGCCTCCCCCCTCAGCCCCACGGCCCTCACCTGGACCCACCTCAGCTCCACCTTCCCACTCAGCGCCACCTTCCCACTCAGCACACATAACAATATTTTGGTCAATGATAGATCACATATACAACAGCAGTTTCATAACTTAATAGCTTATTTTATTGTATCATTTCCATGTTAAAATATATTTGGATATGTAAATTGGATATGTAAATACATTTGGATATGTAAAACTATCCATTGTGCTATACTTGCCCATGGTATTCAGTGCAGGACCATGCTGTACAGGTCTGTAGCCTGGGACCCATATTTTTATTTTACAGATTTCTTTTTTGAGTCAGTCTTGCTCTGTTGCCCAGGCTGGAGTGCAGTGGTGTCATCTTGGCTCACTGCAACCTCCCTGGTTCAAGCAATTCTCCTGCCTCGGCCTCTCAAGTAGCTGGGATTATAGGCATGTATCACCATGCCTGGCTAATTCTTGTATTTTTAGTAGAGACAGGGTTTCACCATGTTGGCCAGGCTGGTCTCAAACTCCTGACCTCAAGTGATCTGCCTGCCTCGGCCTCCCAAAGTGCTGGGATTACAGGCGTGAACCACCCTGTCTGGCCCCATATTCTATATCATACCTTTAATGTATAGTAAGCTATGCCATCCAGGTTCATGTCATTATACTCCTTCTTCTTTGTACAAAGAAAGATGTAATTGCCTAATAAAGCCTCTTTCAGAAGAGAGCCCAGGTGTGATGTGATGCATGATTGAATTAGTGACAGGAAAATGTGACTTTTGCCATTTTCAGTTTTTCCTTTCTGTCTGTGGCTTTGTCTTTCACATCCACAGTTATTATTTTTTTTGGTGTGTTTGTATGATTTTTATAAGTGACATTGGGATTCCCATATCATTTCCTCTTAAGTGTATTCTATAGTTATTTGTGGTTGCTGTGAGGATGACATACAACTTTATAAAGTTATAATAATTTACTTTGAATCAATACTAACCTACCAATATTTCATAAAAATCTTTCCTTTTCCACAGGGCTTCTCTTTACCTCACCTTACTTTTGTCAGTAAAATTATATACTATGTACATATTTAGTGTTATTTGCATACATTTATATTTTAAATCTGGAGATAATTGGAGTACAAATGTGAATTTCAAAAGTACATTTTTTTCATATTTTGTCCTATATATAGAGTCTAGCAGTCTTTATACCTCTTCATGGGTTTGAGTTACTACTTTTTATTTAAACCTGAAGTACTGACTTTAGCATTTTTTTCTTTTTCTTTTTTTTTCTTTGAGAGGAGTCTCACTCTGTTGCCCAGGCTGGAGTGCAATGGTGCAATCTTGGCTCCCTGCAACCTCCGCCTCCCGGGTTCAAGCGATTCTCTTCCCTCAGCCTCCTGAATAGCTGAGATTACAGGTGCAGGCCAGAACACCTGGCTAATTTTACATGTTTAGTGGAGATGAGATTTCACCATGTTGGCTATGGTGGTTTTAAACTCCTGACCTCAAGTGATCTGCCCACCACGGCCTCCCAAATTGCTGGGATTATGGGCGTGAACCACTGCTCCCAGCCTCACTTTAGCATTTCTTATAGAAAAAAAATAGTGAAATGAGGAATTGGAGGTTATAGAATTTTGTTACATCCCATGTGTTACCAATTTAAGCTTTAAAACATTCTAAGTAACTTTTATTTGTTTTTTTAAAAATTTATTTATTTTGAGACGGAGTCTCGCTCTGTCGCCCAGGCTGGAGTGCAGTGGCACGATCTCAGCTCACTATAAGCTCCGCCTCCCGGGGTCACGCCATTCTCCTGCCTCAGCCTCCTGAGTAGCTGGGACTATAGGTGGCCACAGCCACACCCAACTAATTTTTTGTATTTTTAGTAGAGATGGGGTTTCACCGTGTTAGCCAGGATGGTCTCAATCTCCTGACCTCGTGATCCACCTGCCTCAGCCTCCCAAAGTGCTGGGATTACATGTGTGAGCCACAGCACGTGGCCTTTTTTTTAAAATAAAGTTTTTGTGAAAATGATGGATAAACAAGTAGAATAAGCCTGTAGCAGATTTACTATTTATAAATGACTGTTCTAATTATTACTTCACATCTTGGGGAAAAAAAGTCACGCATGCTAAGAAAATCTGAAATTCTTTGGCATTACATACTTGACTAATGAGCTTAATTTTTGATTATGTCAATCAACTTTACAAGATGTGAAATAATCATTACTGAGTCTAGGAACATTGAGGTGGAACAGGAAGGCAGCAATCGAAATGAGCTTTGAGGCACACTAAGTGTGACTGTCCATTAGGCACTAAGGTAGAGATGCAGTCAATATGATTCATTCTGGAGTTTTGGAGAAAAAGCTGAGCTGTAGATACTGATTTACCGTTTCTTGGCCTAGAGGATGTATTTAAAGCCATGAGAATATTTGACATCAAGGAAATGAGTGAAGACAGAAAACAGTCCAGAGATTATGGCCTCTTCCAATTTTAAGAAATAAATTATTTTAGGAAATATTGTAAACTATGAAACTTGGCAGGATATTTCTCAGCTGAAATACATGGCTTAAGGAAACCCCTCTAATGGGGTTAAGTCAGTGGAGGGTAAACGCATTGGGAAATGTGCACAGGTCATAAACATCTGTCAGTCTCAAAGTGCTTTGGCCAGTAGCCCACTTTGTTCCAACTTTTCAAAAAGTTGTCTGGAATGAAATGTTATGTTCTTGACCAACTGATTAAATTTGTACCCCTACAAAGTATAGGAACAATTAGGTGTCTTTGTAAGAATTATTCCTGAAAGTTACCAAAGTTTGAAAGCATCATGCTATTTTACATACTGTTTTCAAAAGATTTTTGAAATTTTGGATAATTAGATGTTTTTGTAATTTTGAAATTAATTTGACAATAACATGTAATGGCTTTTGGATATTTTATATTAGTGTGCCTTTTTAAATGTAATATTTCAAAAGACTGAGTAGAACAAATTAATAGTATATTTTTAGGTCCTAATATTTGCTCTATATGGAGCTGATATTCAGGAGAATGTGACCAGTCAATGGTGTCTTTGGTGTCCTGCTCCACCACAGCCCAGCAAGGCCACTGCTGATACTGGGCACACAGGAGGTCAAGGCCTGGCTCTCAGCCTTGAAACAATGTGGGAAGTTTCCTTTTATGTACAAGACCTAATTGACAAAAGAGCATGTGTTTGTATTTCCCAAGCAGAATCGTGCTCAACTCTCTTCTTCTAACCTCTCCCATATCTGACTTCTCATTATTTATCCTGGATGGGTGCCCTCCCACCTCCCTAACCATTAACCCACAGGGATGCTGCATCCCTAGGTTGCTGGAGCTCCAATTTGCGATGCTGGAGGGAGGCCATAGATTGTTGGTCATCCTGTCAATATGGCTTGTGTTCAGGTTCTATGCTGTGTGTTTTCCTCTTTCTGAAAGAGCTAAAGACAGACTAACTGATAAATACTGGTCAGTTGCTCCTCCTCTAGAGGCTGCAAACTCCACCCACTCTCACCTCAAAAATGTCTATAAAATATCCACTCTGCCCCAAACTTATAGGCAAATCAATTTTTGGCCCTAATGAAGTAGAAGGAAAAGAAACACACAAGTGTGTAGAAAGGAGTAGGAAAAGAACCTTTAAGGAAAACATTCAATTACTTCAAGATAAAATTTATTTTCTTTGCTTTCTGGACTATGGATGTATGTAGCTAACTGAAGTTGCCAAGCAGGAGGGATTTAACCAGAGGCCGTGTGTCCACCAGCATAGAGACATCCTCTGCATCACCATCCACACGCAGGGCTTCTGCTAGATGTCGTGCAGCACCCTCTCTGCTAATATTCATCTGAAAATGGATAATCAGGGTGGTCCACAAGACTGAAAAGAGAAATGATAGTACATAATATGGATGAAATGACTCTATTAAAAAGCTGGTAGCAAAGTGATTTCTAGGACGCTGCCATTAGTGTGAATGTTAAGTTTATTTTCAATTTGTAGAATCTGTCTTTCATGAACATGACTTTATAATGTGTTTTTTTTTTCCCCAAATTAAGAGCATTTTCAACTTATATTCCCTTGCCTGGAATTTATCACACAAACTACACAGGGTCAGTTGTTCAAACACAGTCTTTCATATCTGTTAACAGAGCAAAGAGATACTCTGACCTTTTCTATTTCAAATTCTCAATGAAAGCAGCAACTCATTCTGCATTGTTTTGAATAGAAACAAGCCAGCTACATGTTCATCACTAAATTTTGAGGGTTAAATGTTCTTCGTAGCAATCACACATCCTTTAAAGTATTCATTACTGACTAGCTGCTTACCATATGGAAAATATTTTCTTTGATTCAGACATGTAAACTGTCCTATGTGATATGGGGTTCCATATCCAAAACTCTACAATATAAGGGCAATCTTTAGGTGGAAATAACACAAAATAGAATGAATAAATGATTAATATTGAATAATTGGTGAGAATTACTGATGTTTGCCACTCTTCATTTCCTTTTCCTGATTTCCTATTTTACTATTTTCCTCTAAACAATGATATTTAAAAACGTTTGAGTTCTTACGATGTGCTGCTGTGTTTATCTTTTTTAATACATTATCTCATGTCTATTACCTGTTAACATTGCCACTGCAAGCAGTGACATAACTTGTTTTTCCCTCATCACGTGAGTGCCTTTCTGTTAATCCTAGAACCTTGGAGCATATAGAAAAAGAGTAAGATCTTTTGTCAGCTATATATTATCCCCAAAGATGGGACTTTCCAACTCTTCCCTTGATTTTTTTTTTTTTAATGATGGAATCTTGCTCTGTTGCCCAGGCTGGAGTGCAGTGGCACAATTTCGGCTCACTGCAACCTCTGCCTCCCAGGTTCAAGGGATTCTCCTGCCTCAGCCTCCTGAGTAGCTGGATTTACAGGTGTATGCCACCACGTATGGCTAATTTTTGTATTTTTAGTAGAGACAGGGTTTCTCCATTTTGGCCAGGCTGGTCTGAAACTTCTGACCTCAAGTGATCCACCTGCCTTTGCCTCCCAGAGTGTTGGGATTATAGGCATGAGCCACTGAGCCTGGCTCTTCCCTTGACTTTTAATCTCTCTTCTCTAAAACTTCTTTATAGTCTGCATTTAGATTTCCATATTGGAAAAATAAATCAGAGCCAAGAGTTCTAATGCCCACTAAGGGCAAACTTTCTGGAGGCAAAATGCAGTGCTTGGGTCATGAGCAAATGTCTAAAGAGAAGGAAGAAAGAAATTTGAAAAGGGTAAAGATACTGAACTGACATGATCTAGTGAGCAATTCCACACGGAAGAGATGAATTTCTGGCATGGACACCAATGTTGTTGGAAATGTTTATCTGATAAGGAACTGAGCGGATTTGGAAGAAAAAGCTGTAAGTACAGATTTGGAAAAACATGTAATCAAGCCATGTGGGCAATATCCAATTTGTCCACTAGGCCATAGCAGAAATGCCAGGCCAACATGAAAGGTGCTGATTCAGCAATAATATTGGCTGCTCTGGAAATTTTCAGGGAGTCAGGAGAGCAGAGGCACAGGTTGACCCTGGGCCCGCTCACCCTGTCAGAGAACAGCTCTGGAGTGAATCCAGAAGGAGAGTTCCAGAGTTCCTGTCTCACCTCTGACTCACATTGGCCTGTCTCCCTGGTATTGAAGTCACTTTTAACACCCATCTGACATTCCTCCCCTAAAAATAAACTTGGCAACCCATTTTCCAAAGTTACTTACAAATCCATGACAGCATATCGAAAATTTCCGTTTAGGCCATCTAGAACTTTCATATCCTCCGAAGTCAACTGGAATTCAAAAACCTACCAAAGAAGTAGAAAATTTTCATTGTTAGATTGCATAATTGTCAACTTGGAATAGCCAAGTATATCAGAGCAGGGTATAGAGGCAATATGTAAAATATTTGATAAGTTTCCAAGTTATGAAAGATCATCTCTAAACTCTCAAGTGATTAAAGAATATCAGGTAAAATATAAATCCATTCCTAGATATTATATATTGAAACTGCACAAAACTGTAGACAAAGAAGATCTCAACAGAAACTGGAGACGGAATGAAGTTGACCTGGTGTGCGCATGATTGGTTCATGTACTTAGAAGATTTAGAAGAATCTAGAGGGAAAATTTTGAAACATTTTTAGAAATTTTAGACGTTTGGTGGTGCTACAATTTGGATATCTGTCCCCTCCTAATCTCATGTTAAAAACGTGATTCAGCAATGATGGAAGTGGGTCCTGGTGGGAGGTGTTTGTGCCATGGGGGCATCCTTCATGAATGGCTGGGTGCCCTCCCCATGGTAATGAGTGTTCACTGCATTAGGTCACATGAAATCTGGTTTAAAAAGGAGACTGACATTTTTTTTCCCTCTTCATCTCTTGCTATTTGATATGCTTCCTCCTCTGTCACCTACCATGAGTAAATGCTTCCTGAGGCCTCACCAAAACCAAATTGGTGCCATGATTTTTGTACACTCTGCAAAATGGTAAGCCAAATATACCACCTTCTGGCATATTTTATCTGGCCTCAGGTATTTCTTTATAGCAGTGTGCAATGGGCTAATATGGAAAATTGTTACCAGGAGTGGAACATTGCTAAAAATGTCTGAAAATGTGGTAGTGGCTTTAGAACTGGGTAATTAGCACAGTTTGGAAGTATCGAGAGGGTTCAGAAGAAAATGGGAAGATAAGGGATAGTTTGGAACTTGTTAAGCATTGGTTAAATGATTCTGACCAAAATGCTGATAAAAATATGGGCAATGAAGTGTAGGTTAATGAGATCTAAGACCAAAATCAGAAACTAAAAACTGGAACAAAGATCACCCTTGGTATACCTTAGGAAATTGGCTGCATTGTGTCCATTCCAGGACTTTGTGGAAGTCTGAACTTAGTGATGATTTAAGGGTTTCTGGTGGAAGAAATTTCTAAGCAGGAAGACATTCAACAGATAGTGTGACTGCTTCTAACAGCCTATGATCAGGTATGGGAGCAAAGGAATGACCTAATGTTGGAATATAAAGCTTCCTGAAGCCTCTCCAGAATCTGGTGCTATGCTTTTTGTACAGCCTGTAAATTGTGAGCCAAATATAGCTCTTTTCTGTATAAATTTCCCAGCATCAAGTATTTTTTTTTATAGCAGCACAAAACGGACTAATACAGATGGATATTGTTGGATTTCTATATTTGTCCCCATGACAAAAACACCTCCCACCAGACCCCACTTCCATCATTGGGGATAACATTTTTTCTTAATTTCTAGGGTACATGTGCACAACGTGCAGTTTTGTTACATATGTATACATGTGCCATGTTGGTGTGCTGTACCCATTAACTCGTCATTCACATTAGGTATATCTCCTAATGCTATTCCTCCCTCTTCCCCCCTTCCCCACAATAGGCCCTGGTGTGTGATGTGTTCCCCTTCCTGTGTCCAAGTGATCTCATTGTTCAATTCACACCTATGAGTGAGAACATGTGGTGTTTGGTTTTCTGTTCTTGCGATAGTTTGCTGAGAATGATGGTTTCCAGCTGCATTCATGTCCCTACAAAGGACACGAACTAACCTTTTTTGCATTTTAAAAAAGATTAGAAGGAGACAAATATCCAAACCATATCATCATCAAACTATCTAAATCATAAGTTTCAAAGTTGTTCTCTAGATTCTTAATCTTATAAGTACATGAACCAGTCATGTACACCCAAGGTTAACTTTATTTCATCTCTAGTATCTGTTGAGATCCTCTTTGTCTGTAGAGTCGTACAGTTGTACAGTTTCACATCAGATATAGAAATACTGAAATCGAAATATATTCATCTGATTTCCATCTTCAATGAACAGGTATAATGTGAAAATTGTTTTCAACAAGATTCAAGACAGTAATTGTCCAAATCCTAATAACATCATGCTCAAAGAAAACAAGTAGTTGCTTGTAGAGGATCTCAGTATTCAAATATCAAAAGATGTCACTAACTGCTAGCATAATACTAAATTACTAAAATTTATTGGAATACTCTAATACAGAGAATAAGAGGAAAAGAGAATAAAAGTCTAGGTAAGTCTAGAAAATTCTCAAGTTATCCAAAGACTATTAAAATTATAAGTTTTCTATGAATAAATCTAGGAAAACATATACAAATGCCTCAAGAATGCTATGTAACATAATTTAGACAGTACAGGAAAGTTAACTCTGAAAGAAGGGAAATGTCAGAAGTACTTATGGACACTTTATGACAGGATGAAAAATCAAGATAGGTGAGCAAATATGGACTTTTCAATCATTCTTAGTGGGACATTTTAGTATCAAGTGAAAATTGTATGTACATTTGCACCCTTATTTCACATATTAAAAATCAATTATCCCAATTTATAAAAGTACATTAATATTTTTATAAGATATTAATAGAATATAGTATATTACTCTGTATTACTATATAATATTTTACTACATAATATAGTAATGTATTGTCATGTTTCCAATATAGGAAAAGTCACGATATTAGCAACTACAAGACAATGTCATAAAGAATTTGACTACATTAAGAGTAGAAACTTTTGTTAAAACCACCATAAAGAGAATCAAAACACGGGTACATTTTGGGAGAGGCTATTTCAACAATACATCTGAAGCTCTAAAGAATATCCAGAATACAAATTCTGGATTAATTCTGCAGAGCTGCCTCATTGCCCTGCACACACGTGAGACAGCCCAGCCAGGAACAGAACTAGACTGAGTTCAGGTGGAGCTTAGGCTAAATTACAAACCATGAAATTGTCAGTTAAATAAATGGTTTTCTATTGAACCTCTATGTTTGAGAGGTTTTCTTTTTTATAATTTTACTTAGTATTATGTTTTTCTACACATAGAAAAAGACATGCAACCTAATAAAAATACCCAAAGACTTCAACAGGCACTGAAAAAATAATTCTAAGAGAATAAATACATGAAATTTATACGGAATAAACAAGGACATGAAGAAAAAATCTGCAATGATTTGAAGACTAGAGAACACCTAACCCAACTCATTTCAGAAAATGAAGACAAGGTGATGTCCCTAGCAGAGGGATACAGAGTAAGTTGCCAACTTTATGCCAAAATTTCTGGTTTTGGTCCCATCCTGATTCTTTCCACCCATACTACTGCTATAGTAGAGTAGAAAACCCTTATGATGCACACAAAGCATTTGCGCATAGGAAATGCCCAGGAGATGGACTTAGTGCAAGGGTGTCCTGAGAAGCTTACAAGAAGCACACATGTGAAGGACACCATGCAGGAGCCCTGACACCCACTCAACTCCTCACCTGGACGTTTTCTCTGATCCGCTGTTCATTGTAGCTCTTGGCCAGGACCACAACCCCACGCTGCAGCTGGTAGCGCAAGGCAATCAGGGCTGGGGATGGTTTGTGCTTCTTTGCTAAGGCGCAAAGAACTGGGTCTTCCAAAAGAGCTGGGGAGTTCTGGTCCACCCTGGAAGGAAAGCCAGAAATGCTGAAGTCTTGAGGCTGGATTCAGTTTGGTAGGAGGCTCCCTAAACAGACTAAGGTGTTCATTCTGCACCAGAGCCTCTCAAGTGAGGCCCCTGTACAATAGCATCACCTGGGAACTCATCAGAAATGCAAATTCTCCCCGTACACTGATTCACAGAGAGTGAACTCCAGGAGACTGAGTAGGCTATAATTAAACTTTTTCATCAAAATGGCATTTTAGGTAAACTTCCTGTTGCTTTTATTACCATAGTTTATGTCGTTGGGTTCCCAGAGCACTATGGGCAACCAGGACAATGTCTTCTGACTTGCAGAAATCCAGCAGTTGGCTCTGGTTGAGGTAAGGATGACATTCCACCTGCAGATGAGCAAGACGGAAAAGCATCAGATAATCCAAAACATAGGTTAATATAAAGATTAAAATAAGCTGAATAAAGTATAACATTAAATTTGAACTGAGACTATTATTGTCAAATAATGATCTTTTTAATAAAAATACATTTTATATTGCTGTCCTAAAAGTATACACAGAAATGTTATTTCTGAGCATAAGCAACTCTATGAACCAGAGTCAGTTTCTAACAACCTTTGACCACTAGAATTGCACATGGCCAATTCCAGTCTTGGAATAGGTTAAGATTCTGAACTTTGAACATCAAATTGTGCCAGAATGTAAGAATTTCTTTAAAGACTTATGAGATCAGGTTTAAAACAAAAAAGTAGTTTTATAGGAATCTCAGTAATATTTGTGTAGATGTGAGCATCAAAAACCAATAATGAATAAAAATCACAAATTATAGGAAAACAATCCATGTCTTCATAATGTTGAGTGGTTAAAAGTGATCAAAAGTATTTGCCTTCACCAATGGTGATTGATATGTTTTGGCTCTGTGTCCCCACCCAAATCTCATTTTGTAGCTCTCATAATTCCCACATGTCGTGGAAGGGGCCCAGGGGTGATAATTGAATCATGGGAGTGGGTGTTTCCTGTGTTCTCATGATAGTGAATAAGTCTCTCAAGATCTGATGATTTTAAAAATGGGTTTCCCTGCACAAGCTGTCTCTTTGCCTGCTGCCCTCCATGTAAGATATGACTTGCTCCTCTTTGCCTTCTGCCATGATTGTGAGGTGTCCCCAGCCATGTGAAGCTGTAAGTCCATTAAACCCCCCTTTTCTCCCCACTCTTATGTTTTTATCAGCAGCATGAACACGGACCAATATGGTAACTTCGTACCAGTAGAGTGGGGCGTTGCTGTACGATACCTGAAAATGTGGAAGTGACTTTGGAAGTGGGTAACATGCAGAGGTTGTAACAGTTTGGAGTGCTCAGGAGAAGACAGAAAAATAAATGTAAGAATGTTGGAAACTTTCTAGAGACTTGTTGAATATCTTTGACAAAAATGCTGCTAGTAATATGAACAATAAGGTCCAGGCTGAGGTGGTCTCAGATGGAGATGAGGAACTTGTTGGGAACTGGAGCAAAGGTGACTCTTGTTATGTTGTAGCAGAGAGTGGTGGCATTTTGTCCCTGCCCTAGAGACTTGTGGAACTTTGGATTTGAGAGAGATGATTTAGGGTATCTGGTCAAAGAAATTTCTAAGCAAAGCATTCAAGAAATGACTTGGGTGCTGTTAAAAGCATCCAGTTTTAAAAGGGAAACAACATAAAAGTTCAGAAAATTTGCAGTCTGGTGATGTAGTAAAAATTAAAAACCCATTTTCTGAGAAGAAAGTCAAGCCAGCTGTAGAAATTTGCATAAGTAACAAGGAGCCAAATATTAATCACCAAGACAATGGGGAAAATGTCTCCAAGGCAGTCAGACACCTTTGTGGCAGCCCTTCTCATCCCAGGCCCAGAGGTGGAGGCCTAGGAGGAAAAAATGGTTTCATGGGCTGGGCCCAGGGTCTCCATTCTGTGTGCAGTCTAGGGACTTGGTACCCTGCATCCCAATCACTCCTGCTGTGACTAAAAGGGGCCAAAGTACAGCTCAGGCTGTGGCTGCACAGGGTGCAGGTCCCAAGCCTTTAGCAGCTTCTATGTGGTGTTGAGCCTACGGGTGCACAGTAGTTAAGAATTGAGTCATGGGGCCAGGCGTGGTGGCTCACACCTTTAATCCCAGCACTCTGGGAGGCTGAGGCAGGTAGATCACAAAGTCATGAGTTTGAGACCAGCCTGACCAAAATGGTGAAACCCCATCTCTATTAAAGATGCAAAAATTAGCCAGGCGTGGTGGTAAGTGCCTGTAATCCCAGCTACTCAGGAGGCTGAGGCAGAAGAACCACTTGAACCCAGGAGGTGGAGGTTGCAGTGAGCTGAGATCATGCCACTGCATTCCAGCCTGGGCCTGGGCGATAGCAGCACGTTGTCTCAAAAAAAAAAAAAAAAAAAAAAAAAAAATTGAGGTTTGGGAACCTCCATCTAGATTTCAGTTTTCAGAGGATGTATAGAAATGCCTGGTTGTCCAGGCAGAAGTTTACCACTAGGCCCGTGCTCCCATGGTGAACCTCTGCTAGGACAGTGTTCTGGGGTCAGAGCCCCCACACAGAGTCCCTGCTGGGGCACCACCTGATGGAGCTGTGAGAAAAGGGCCACTATCCTCCAGACCCTAGAATGGTAGATCCACTGACAGCTTGCACTGTGCACCTGGAAAAGCTGTAGACACTCAATGCCAGTCCATGAAAGCAGCCAGAAGGGAGGCTGTACCCTGCAAAGCCACAGGAGTGGAGCTGCCCAAGAACATAGGAACCACCTCTTACATCAGCATGGATGTGAATGGAGTTCCATTGACTCCTGGATGTGAAACATGGAGTCAAAGGAGATCATTTTGAAGCTTTAAAATTTGACTGCCCTGCTGGATTTCAGACTAGCATGGGTCCTGTAGTCCCTTTTTTGGCCAATTTCTCCCACAGGGAACAGCTGTATTTACCCAATGCCTGTACCCCCATTGTATCTTGGAAGTAACTAACTTGCTTTTGAGTTTACAGGCTCATAGGTGGAAGGTACTTGCCTTGTCTCAGATGAGACTTTGGACTGTGGACTTTCGATCTAATGCTGAAATGAGTTAAGACTTTGGAAAACTGTTGGGAATGCATGATTGGTTTTGAATTGTGAGGACATGAGATTTGGGAGGGGTTAGGGGTGGCATGATATGGTTTGGGTATGTGTCCCCACCCAAATCTCATCTTGTAGCTCCCATAATTCCCATGTATTGTGGGAGAGACCTGGTGGGAGATAATTAAATCACGGGGGCAGGTCTTTCCCGTGATGTTCTTGAGATAGTGAATAAGTCTCATGAGATCTGATGGTTTTATAAGGAGGAGATTTCCTGCACAAGTTCTTTCTTTGCCTGGTGCCATCTGTGTAAGATGTGACTTGCTCCTCCTTGCCTTCTGCCATGATTGTGAGACCTCCCCAGCCATATGGAACTTTAAGTCCATTAAACCTCTTTTTCTTCCCAGTCTCGGATATGTCTTTATCAGTAGCATGAAAATGGACTAATACAATGATCATTACAGTAATTTTTTTCCAGGACATCAATAATTAAAGGAAAAGAGTTAAGCTTTTTAGCATATCCAAGAGGAGTAATTGTTTCTTGACTTAGTGAAAAAAATTTTTTCATAATAAAATGTAAAGTGAGAACAGTAAACTTGTAGTTAAAATTGAAAGTAATTACTTTAAAGCCCCCAGGAAAGAACAAATACAATAACAATGCAATACAAAAATTTAAAACATCATTAATGTATACTCAATCATTATGTGAAAATTTGCTGTGGAATATAACTTTCCCTTTTGATTATTTTCACCCAGCAGATTACTAGCAATTGCAAAGTGGAGAACACGTGTCTCTGGAAATTATTGTTATTTCCTTATATATAATAATTGCAGTGTTACTGGGAGAATATCTTCATTCCTATGCCATGCTTTGAAAGGTCTGTAGAGGTGAATTGTGATCATTACAATATATTTTGAAGAGATTCAACAAAGACTACATGTATTGATGCAGATCTACTCATATATACCTATATATTCGCCAGGTTGGCAAAGTGTCAACAATTTTGGATATAGATGGTAACATGTAGATGTCCTGTATTATCCCTTCAAATTTCTCTAAAATTTGAAAATGTCATAATAAAAAAATTGAGTAAAACTAATATTAAAACCACATTAATTCCTTAACTTTTTAATTGGCAATCAAGATTTTGTATTATATTACCAAATACATAAATTTTAAATACTACATGTTTCAGCTGTAGACCTGTACTCATTGACTCTAAGTAGTAAAAGAGTAAGTTAGAGAACCAGAACCATATGCAGAATAGATGCTTCTCAACAGTTGATTTGATGACAGAAAGCAAAGAGGTGCATCAAAATTAGATGTGGGCAGTCACAAGGTCGGCTCAATGTTCTGCTAAATTTTCCTCAGTGTTGATTTCATCCACCACAACTAGTGATCTCCATAAATAGTTAACTCTCATTTCACCAACTTCGCGTCAAATTTCCGCAATTGCATTCTGGTTAATTTAGTATACTTGCTTGACTTCCCAAAATGATAATACTGAAATATTTGTGGGGTAGGGAGAAGAGACCACTTGAAGCATCACTGCATTTACTCATCTTCCACACAGCCACAGAGTGGGGCTTCTGATTGTTCGATGAAACGAAGCTTTGACAGCACGCAGGAGGGCATACGGGATCTGATTGTTCAATGAAATGAAGCTTTGACAGCACGCAGGAGGGGCATACAGGAAAACCAGGCTTAGACAGTCTTGCATTTGTCAAAATCAGACCAGAGAAAATCTATTCCACATATATAGAAAAGGTATCATATTCATCTTTTTATATTACTGCAATATTTTTCTTTTCATTGTCACATCATGGAGTTTCTCAAATCCTTTATTTCATGTCCTATGATTGCACAGGTAGGCGGCAAATGCCAAGGAGTGGATGAGCTCAGTTCAACCATTGCTAACAATTTCTCAATTTCTGAGAGAGACGAGTTCTTCAAGTCTAGTTTCTTAGCACCCGTAAGTACAGGGACATCTTTATTTTCTTATACCCTATTTTATAAAGTTCAGTTTTGACTTCTTCCATTCTTTCAACATCAACAGAGTCCACAGCAAACACAGTGCCATCTGTGCATCTTGCATATGGCTTCTACAGTGTTCCTCATTTCCCCTGACCACTTACATCTCAGGAGTGAAAAGTGACTGTTTTAGAATTTTCCAAGGTTACCTTAATTTTTCAGTGTTAAATCCTTTGGTGGGTATGGTATTTATAAATTTATTGAATAGCAGCCTGTATAAAACAGTTCTTCCAGCACAGTCCAAACACGAAATAACAATGTGGAAGGACTGAAATGATGGCAGGATGGTAGTTTAGTCAGTTAGTCCATTCCCCTATTTCCAGCTGCAAATAAGTGTTCCAAAATGAAATGCTTTCTTTTTTGTGCTTTAGAACTTTTCTTCCCAGGTGGTCCAGCTATAAGACTCCCGTTTTGGGTCTGGGTCTAAATGAGACAATATTAGCAGGCTTTTCTACACGAGGCAAGGGTGGGGGTAGCACGCCACATCCTTTCAGCTTCTCTCTCAAGCAGCTCTCATAAACAGGTAACTTCCTCTCCCTAACCTGGATGACTTTTACTGTTTCCAGTTAGTTCTTAGTACCTGCTGAAGAACTATGAAAACAGAGATGCCAATAAAAAGCATTCAGACATCTAAACCTTATTTAAACCCGTAGTACCTATCTTCTCTTATTCTCACTCCCCTGATTTATTGCTCATCCCATGTTTTTATGGCCTTTATAATTATACACATTATACTCCAAATCATCTTTACCAATCCACTCTCTGGTGGTCTTTTCAAACCTTAGAGATAAGTCCACCTTCTCCCTGAGCTCTGATTAACCATTTCAGTCCTCCTTGATGAAATTTACCTCCTCCAAAAGTAGTATACAGAATTCAGCATGAAGGTCTCTGTACCTTTTTCACTAGTACTTCTCCAAGGAGAGGTACAATTAAGGGTCTTCCATGTTCTTCTAGACAGAGGCTTTGCTTTCTAGAATCTTCTCTTTCACAAATGTAAGTGGAACAAAACAAATGGAAGCCAGGCAGTAGGACAGGAAGATGGGTATTGAGAAGAGAAAGGAGAGGAGGCTGAGGGCCCTCACCTGGTTGCAGACGGGCTTGTACTTGAGTCCTGGGTTGTTGAGGATCATCTCCAGCTGTCTGCGGTTGAAGTTTGACACCCCGATGGACTTGGCCAATCCTGCATCCTTACACTTCTCCATGGCCTGGGGAGGGGTTGTGAGGAATTATTTGTGCAGTTGGCTGCAGATTATGATAAATGCAAGACAGAACTGTTAAAGCAACAACTGTTAAGATATGACAATGAAAATAGCAGTGATTCTCAAGAGAATTACAACAGATAACAAAAAAGGATAGTGACAGCAAGAAGAATTTGGGTATCCTCTTTAGGAAGCTGGAGAGAAAAATGCACATGGAGGGGGAGGAATACCTGTCTTCCTTGTCCCCAATTTATCTCCTTCATTTCCCACTATTCTATTTCAGTCATGTGTTCTTCCCTACCACTCAGCAAAACTTCCTTCGTCAAGCTCCTGAATTTCTAGTTCCAGTGATGCATATTCCACTGGTTGCACATGAAAGCTGGGAAACAGGTTTACCTCTTGTCTTCCTTTTCTGTACTCTGTCCTCCTAGCACTTACCTCCCATATGGCACAGAGATCCACTGTGTCGAATATTACTTTTCCATTTTCATCTTTTGGTAGTAGCGTCTCACCTGGCTGAAGTAGAAGCAGTCATTTTAATGTCACAATTTAATTTCTCCACCCATAGGCTTGTTCCCATGTACATTTTAGGATAATCCACCAGGTGCTGCAATGTTCTAGAAAGTGGTGTGGGCAAAGTGTCTCACATACGGAGTTTTAAGGTATGTCTTTAGGAGACAGGCTTCCTTTAATCTCCTACTTCCATTTTATATATATATGCATATATAATATATATATGTATATATAATATATATGTGTATATATGTATATATTATTATATATATATAAAATAAACATTTTACAGGTTTATAATGGGGTTTCACAGTTGACTTTTGTTACTTGTATCTGCTCCTATAATTTTCTCTGGGGAAATGCCACTCTTTGACTCAAAAATCCTTGATATCCAGCAAATATCCAGCAATAAGGGATTGTATTCTTGATCCAGGTGATACAATAAGAGTTCCTTATCCCCCTGAAGATTTGATAGTACATGAGCAGGATCATAAACCAAACATGGTCAAATATATGTATTTGAAAGTTGTAAGACCCATGGAGGCTCTCTTATGTTAATCACCATGAGCCTTGAGCTGCCTCAAAACTATCATTGCCAACAATGAAAAAGGCTGGGACAAAAATCCAGAAAACCTCTTGGAGTTCATAGATAATTATGGAGAAAAGGTCACATTTTTAGAGTGTAGGTGAAATCTTTATTCATGGCAGTGACTACCCATTTGTATCATGGAATAAACTCTTTTTTAAATAAACTAGCCTGAGTTTTTCCCTATAAATTTAAAAGTTATGCACAACCGAAATTCATGACTAAGCAAAGCTACAAACTCCAGTGTGAAACAAGCTTTAGTGAAGAAGGCAACGATTCTCAGGTCCCATTATGGTTTCCTTTTTAAGACTCACCCAGAGTGAGTTCCACCAAATCTACTTCAGTTTAAAATGGGGAGAGATAATGGAAACTCACTGTGTACCATATTGCAGCAGTTTTTTTGGGCACCACAGCTGCGTGGATCTCTATATCTGTGAACATCCTAAGAGATGGACTCAGAAACCCCAATTAAGACAGAGCCTTGAAGGTGGCTATTGTTATTTTCTCGAGTTTTTGAGGCAGAGGCTTTGAGGTTGATGTACTGTCTTCTGTTGTCATCATACATTAGAGAAGGAAGGTTTCGCTATTTATTCAATAAAACAGGGGTTAGGCGTTATACTTAGGACTCTTCTTCCATGTAACAATACCTACATCCTCCTAAGAAGAAGCTTAATTCTACCATCAATGTAAAGGATTGTCATGCTGGCAACAGAAGAGAAAGAAGTTTGATCTCAAAAACTGCCAACCTTGAGAGCCATTGGGAAATGAATAAGATAAAGGTCAACATAGTCCAGTTGACGTTTTTTTCAGTGAGCTTTCCAAGGCTGGTTGTACCAACTCTGGTTGATGGAAAGTACACCAAAGCTGCAGGGTAAAACTAAAGAATTGTGTTGAATAAAAACATGACCCAGTTTTATTAGTTTGCCCCATCTAATAGTTAGACATTTTTTCCACTGGTTCAAAACTGAAGACTGCTAGCAAAAAAAATTCACATTCTTGTTGTATTTTCTTTTGATATGATCTATCCACGTAAATTCTACTATCTATTGCAAATATAGTTAGTACAATTGCTAAACAATGGAAATAAAATTTTCAATAGGTAAAAATTGATATCAATAATTATGTTCATTATCTGAATGTTTGATAGAATTTATAAAACACTTCAATTGTCTAATTTTCTCATCCATTGAACCCAATGGACAATAATAGTTATTCCTGTTGCTTAGAAACTAAAGAAAATAATGTTCTTAACATGATGACATTTGTGGAACTCCATTCAAGATACTTTAGTTATGTGTTATTTAATACCTATAGGGCTCCCTTATTTTGTACTCTCCCCACTCACACACACTCTGATGAAAGGGACAATTGAGATTCAGAATAATATATTAATGAAAGTCATCCAGGACCTAAGAAAAGCTATATTATTATTATAGTTCTCTATGATTTTATAGCCTGATCTGAGATTTTTTTCCCCAAGAGTGTGGATCAGAGCCAGTGTTAGCATGTCCCTCCCACTTGGAAGAACAGAATAGTGTGTAGATATTCACACTGTGAACTATTTTCCAAGAAGCAACACAGAAACTTAATAGAAAAACTGAAAGAATTCATAGACCCTTTGAAAGAAGTGGCAGGCTGCAGCATACACTATAAGATAGATGAAAAACTGTAAGTGCCCAGAGTGTAAGAAGGGGAGAAACTGCCTCCAGAATATCCTTTCCTACCAGGGAATCTGAAAATGTAGGCCATGGGGCCTAACTGATTTAGGGAGAGGTGAGAAATAAAGTAGAAGCAGCAGTGGGAAATGCCACAAAGGCATTCCCAATCTCCAGCATGGACAGAAGGAGGCCATTTCTTATTTTATCTCACAGGGGACCCTCAGTGAAGTCAGCCAACTAGTTCAGGCAAGGGTCGCAGATTGAAAGAAGCTCCCAACTGAATTTCATATTATTGTTTTGAGTGGGGATGAACTACTTTGGTTAGAACTCGGGGGGCAAGCAAGAAGTGTGCTGCAGACACAAATGCAGAATTCTTGTGCCCAGCCTTGCAGTTGGATAAGGAGGGGCATAGCTTGAAAGCCACAGTTGCTATCTCTACAGGAAAACTTTTGTCCCAGGGCAGTTCTGAATTCTGAGCACAGGCTACTTAGAACTTAGTCCAGTGCTCCTAGCACCTGCACTCAGCAGCCTGGGCAACAAAGCACTGTAGAACTGAGATCTGCCTTGCCAATTGTGTGGGATCTCAGTGAGGCTTACTGCCACCTGTTACTCCCACTCCCTGTGTGAATACTTCTGCGCAACAAAGGCAGTTATACTCCCTTCTGCAACATGACCCTATTGGCCTGAGAACCATCTCCTTGCCCTCAGAGCAGCTGCAGCTAGCACCACTCCAGGAGAGTCAGAATGCAGACCTGCCTAACCCTGACCCAACCTGGTTGTGCCCCTCCACCCACCCTGGTAGCTTAACACAAAGGACGTAAACTTTTGGGAACTCTATGACCCTGCCCATCACCTGAGAAACGAGAATACCTCCCTAGGGAAACATAAGGCAAGCTCAAATTGCACAGCTGGTGCTCTTGTGCAAGAGCTGGAGGCCAATGCAGTTCATTACAGCATTCCTAGGTAGAATAACATTGCACCCAGGAAGAAGAAAACTTGTTTGTAATCTCAGCTGACCCCATTGCCTGCATCTATCTGACTAACCAGAAGTCCTGAGTCTGTTCCTGAGACAAGTTCACTACCATTATAACCAGCATTTGAGAAAGCCAACACAAAATGGCTATCTGCAACCAAGGAATCTCACAGTCTATGTCACTTCCCTGACGCCATCATGAGAACTGGTGCTGGTACCCACTGCTGGGAGACATGAAGACAGGTCACATCACAGGATCCCTTTCCAATATTCCCCAGCACTAGCCCAGAGAGGGGCAACCCCACTGGGTCGTTAGACCCAGAAGAGCAATAGCAATCTGTCACTGTAGTCTGGCTCTCAGGATCTTTTACTCATAATGTAATAGAAAGAGCATCACATCAGGACAAAAATATCCAGTTAGCAGGACTTGAGTTCCAGATCTTTACACTGGCAGCAAGTTTCTTTCAGCAGAGACACAATCTCAGTGCTAGATTCAGTAGGGAAAGTCTGAACCTCTACCACCAACAGTCAAGTGGCCTTGGTGCTCATGAAGAGTCTTGGAGAAGGGGTCTTCTTTCCCCCCTTTTCCATCAATGCAGACATAGCTAGGGCTTCTCCTAAAGAAGCTCTGCATGGGTACACCCATACACAGCTTTCCTGGAACACTTCAGAATGACTGCGTCCCCACAGGAAGGGCACTCCCCATGTTCAGGCTTGCATGAGAGGCAGTCACAATTTCTCCCTACTTGGAACATCAACATTTCTACAGATGAAAAGAGGTACCTGTCTGATCTCAAGATTCAGAACACTGGGACAAGAGTGAGACTGGGAAGCGCATAGCTTTCCTGTCAACCTGGCATGGGAGCAGAGGTAGCTTCCATCCTTAGCATTGATAAAAGAGGTGAATCCAATTGAAAACTCTCCCAACCACATTGGGTACTTCATTTATCCACCTGCTTTAGTTACAAATGGTTCCTACCCAGAGATACCACCTCTACTGGCCTATGGTTGTATCCCTGGGTAGGGGATACTCAATAAATAAAATAGTGGGAAAAATTGAATAAATATAAAAGTACATATAACAGCAGTATAAGATAAGCTTCAAGAGACTGCTGCCGTTCCAATCCCACAGGAGACAGTGAACTTGCCCACACACTGAGTATATAGCTACTACAACCAACATCTGAGGGGGCCATTATACAAAGACTCTCTATAACCAAGGAACTCATATAAGTCTTCACACCTAATAGCACTAAGAACCCAATTAGGCTATTATAAACTATAAATATTAAAGTCAGATCCTTAAAAGGGAAAAAAGAAATTAAAGAAAAACAGGGAAATCAAAAATGAATTCAAGAATAATTAGAAGAAATAATCTAGCAAAATGAGAGGACATCAGAAAAGTAATTATGGTAATATGACAAAACAAGATTTTGTCAATCCCAAACCCTGGGGCCACCCAAGTCACCCCAAAAAGATCACACTAGCTCCCCAGCAATAAATTCAAACTAAGATAAAATATTTGAAATACCAGATAATGAATTCAGAAGGTTCATTATTAAGCTACTCAAGGAGATATCACAGAAAGGTGAAAAACAACCTAAAAAATTAAAAAAAATTCAGGATATAAATAAAAAATTTTCCAGAGAGATAAATATCACAAAGAAAAACCAATCAGAACTTCTGGAAATGAAAGACACATTTGGGGAAATACAAAATGCAGTGGAAAGTTTCAACAATAGACTAGAACAAGTAAAGGAAAGAATTTCAGAGCTCAAAGACAAGGCTTTTGAATTAATCCAATCAGACAATGATAAAGAAGAATCAATCAGGCTGGATGGATGGCTCACACCTGTAATCCCAGCACTTTGAGAGGCTGAGTTGGATGAATCACTTGAGGTCAGGAGTTCAAGATCAGCCTGGCCAACATGGTGAAACCCAGTCTCTACTAAAAATACAAAAATTAGCCCAGCATAGTGGCATGTGCCTACAATTCCAGCTACTCAGGAGCCTGAGGCAGGAGAATCGCTTTAACCTGGGAGGCAGAGGTTGCAGCAGTGAGCCAAAATCACGCACTTGCACTCCAGCAGCCTGGGCAACAAAGCAAGACTCTTGTCAAAAAAAAAAAAAAACCAAAAAACAAAAAACAAATTATCTAAGAAATATGAGATTATGTAAAACAGCCAAACCTAAGAATAACTGGTGTTCCTGAGGGAGAAAAGAAGTCTAAAAGTTTGGAAAACTTACCTGAGAGAATAATTGAGAAAAAATTCCCTGGCCTGGCTAGAGATTTAGATATCCAAATAGAAGAAGCTCAAAGAACTCCTTGGAAATTCATTGCAAAAATATTACCACCAAGTCACATAGTCATGAGTCTATCTAAAGTCAACATGAAGGAAATAATTCTAAGAGATGTGAGAAAAAAGCATCAGGTAACACAAAGAAAAATCAAACTAACAGAACTTCTAAGCAGAAAACTTAAAAACTAGAAGGGATTGAGGTCCTATCTTTAGCCTTCTTAAACAAAATAAATGTCAGCCAGAGATTTTGTGTCCAGCAAAACTACGTTTCATGAATGAAGGAGAAATAAAGTCGTTTTTAGAAAAACAAATGATGAAGGAATTTGACATTATCAAACCAGTTCTACAAAGCATGCTATAAGGAGTTCTAAATCTTCAAACAAAAGATTGTTATTCACCACAATGGAACCTCCTGAAAGCATAAAACTCATGAATCCTATAAAACAATACACAACAGCAACCAAAAGTATTTAGGTAACAACTGAAATGATGAAAAGAACAGTACCTCACATCTCAGTAATAACATTGAACATAAATGGCCTAAATTCTCCACTTAGAAGATACAGAATGGCGAAATGGATAATAAATTACAAACCAAATACCTGCTGTATTGAAGAGATTCACCTAACACATAAAGATTTGGATAAACTCAAGTTAAAAAGGTGGAAAAAGAGATTCCATGCAAATGGAAACCAAAAGTATGCAGGAGTTGCTACTCTTATATCAGACAAAACAGACTTTAAAGCAACAGCAGTAAGAAAAAAAAGACAAAGAAAATCATTATATAATGATAAAAGAACCAATCTAGCAAGAACATATTACAATCTTAAATTTATATGCACCTAACACTGGAGCTCCCAGATTTGTAAAACTATTACTAGCAGACTTAAGAAATGGATAGCAACACAGTAATAGTGAGGCACTCAATACTCCATTGTACAGTGCTAGTCAGATAATCAAGGCAGAAAGTAAATAGGAAACAATGGATTTCAGATACTCTAGAAAAATGTTTACTAAACAGATGTTTACAGAACATTCTACCCACCAACTGCAGAATATACATTCTTCTCATCAGCACATGGAACATTCTGCAAGATAGACCATATGATAGGCCACAAAACAAGTGTCAAACTTGAGAAAATCCAAATTATATCAAGTATCTCTTAGAACACAGTGTAATAAAACTAGAAATTGACTCTGAAAGGAACCCTCAAAACTATACAAATACATGGAAATTAAACAATCTGCTCTTGAATGATTTTGGGTTAACAATAAAATCAAAATGGCAATTCAGTAATTTTTTGAAATAAATGATAGTAGTGACACAAGTTATGAAAACCTCTGGAATACAGCAAAAGCAGAGCTAAAAGGCAAGTTCATATCATTAAATGCCTACATCAAAGAGTCTGAAAGAGCACAAATTGACTAAAGATGTACTAGAGAAACAGGAACTAACTAAACCCAAAGATATTAGAAGAAATAATATTAGAGCAGAACTAAATGAAATTGAAACAAAACACCCCCAACAAAAGATCAGTGAAAGATAAAGCTGGTTCTTTGAAAAGAGGAACAAATTTGCTGGACCATTAGTGAGATTAACCAAGAAAAGAAGAGAGAAGATCCAAATAAGCTCAACTGGAAGTGAAACTGGACACATTACAAATGTATCATAGAAATACAAAAAATCATTCAGGACAACTAAGAACACCTTTATGTGCACAAACTATAAAATCTAGAGTAGATTGGTGAGAAATTCTGAGATACCAGCCAGGCTCCAACTTTGAAAACAGGTGCATCTACGGGTGGCAGTCTATTGTGTTGACTCCTTTCTACACAGCCATTAGCCATTCTGTGTGCATGCCAGAACTATATATGAGGAGTAAAGACATACACTCCAAGGATGTAGAGTTATACATAAGAAATTAACTGCAACCTGTAAAAGATTAGTAAAGTATGCTTTAGTCTTAAAAAATAAGGATAACTTTTTTTAGGAGACATAAGTTCAGTGAAATTTAAAATGATTGACTTATCTATCAAATTTGGATAAATATTTGAAAGGTACATTTTTAAAACAACAAAGCCATAAATGGAACAATTTTCTATTTTAATATGAGTATTTCAGGAGTTTTTCTATTTCCAATGATATTAAAAGGAACTAGATGCCAGGTCTCACTGCCTTCCCCTGATACCAGCCCTGATCTTCTCTTTGCTATGCAGGCACTCAAGTTTATCAAAGCTAAAGTTTTCATGTTGTGCTTTTCCTTACTTCCCCTTCATGCCAATTTTCATTACAAAGTAAACCGCTAGTGTTGATGTTTTCAAGATGTTTCTCTGTAAATTCTTACAATGTAAAGTTGAGAAAAGTGAGACAAATTTTTATGTGACTAGTCCTTATTCACACACTTAGTAGCCTTGGAATACATGCTTTCTTCCAGTATAGAAATAGTTCAGTCTAGAAAATAAAGTCTCCATTTTGCCTACTTTCATGTCAGGGGACCACCCATACCATTTTGATACAAATCTGATGCATATTAACATGGACCAAAAATTTAAAATTTCTCTTGTGAGGTTCTAGTTTTTTCTTAAAGTTATTTTTCCCTTCAGATAATTTTCCTAGAGGTGAAAGTTGTACATGGGAAATTGTATTAAGTCCAAGACCAGTATTATTACTCTGTCATGCTGAAGGCCACACAGCAGCTCAGCAATACTCTCCCCAAGGGTTTTCATACACCCCATCTCCAGACACTGCTACCACAAATATTTTGTTTGATCATGTACACTTGGAAGAATAAACAATTTCTTCAATGATAGAAAGAAATAGAGAAACCATTCCACTGCAGTCAATCTCCTACAAAAGGAAATGCCAGGCAGTGTTCTTCATTGTTGAGTTTTAAATATTCTGCAAAGCTGGGAATACCCATAAACAGAAGAAAAAAAAACAGTGCACAAAAGAAAAGTAAGCGGTACATGACCATATGACCAGACCTCAATGCAGAACAGATTGACTGCCTTTTCTCATTGAACTTGGAATAGCTCTGGCCTATTAAAACAGACCAAGTGAATCATGCAGAGTAACACAGGAACACAAAGCTAAAAGCCAGGTCATCATCTACTTGTTCCAGCTTTGCTCTTTTAAATGCTCAACACTGAAAATATGATTGTTACCTCTGGAGGCACATAGGTGCCAAATCCTAATACAGGCATGAAATGACCATCATTTAGCTCCACACGCTGATATTTGGGATCCATTGAATGTCACTCCTTTTGCTAAGCAGACGCTGTTTCCTTCTTCAACATCCAGCATTTATATTCACAGGTTATATAAACAATGGGCAGGCAATGTGACACTGCCCACTGTCTGGGGCTGACCAATGCCATGTAGGAAGAAGCAAGTGATGGTATATTACACAGGCTGTGAAGAAAATTGAATCCAGTCCACTTGGCTTTTATCAAAGATAATTCTTAAGTACATTTTTATATAGTCAGAATAAAATTATTTTTTGCTAAAGTAAAATGTTCTATCTGGAATCTATCTATCTGGCAATTTATTATCTATCTATCTATAATCTATCATCTGTCTTATCTATCTTATAAATTCCTCCAACAGATTTATAGAATGATTATCATATATTAGACTATAAAACACTTCTAGAAACAAGTCTCGTTTTTGTTCATGCCATGACGATGTTTCATCTTTATTTTATGTCATATAAATGATCAACCATTTTACATCTTTCTGCCACATGACACTATTTAAAGGAGTGACTAGTAAGCATTTTTTAACAGGTGACAATAAAAAAATTAAACATTAAAACCAAAAGAAACTTTCTCCTTTTACCTTTCCATGAGCTAATATATATATTTTTTCTTTGCATTGTAGAAGGAATATTCATTCCTGATGAAAATGCAGTCCTGATGATGTTGTAATCCTGACAAAAGTACAAAGGAAAAAGAAAACACAGAAATTCTGACATGTTTATTAGAGTATTAATTATTAACAATGTTTGGTCTTTGGACATCATTTCCAATATGCAAACAGTGCCTTATAGTATTTGTATCTTTCATCCAGTTTTAGAAGAAACTATCAAAAGTAACTTCCCAAAAAACTGGTAACTATTTTATATAATTTGTGATCCTGTTAAATATTATAAAACTGGAAACTAATTACAATAAATTGGTGAATAATCCTCACATGCCTTAATTTTTACTTGTGTCTCTCTTTGGAGGGCAGCTTTGAACAGATTGGGCCAGACACGTTGGCTCACACCCATGTAATCCCAGCACTTTGGGAGGCTGAGGTGGGTGGATCACTTGAGATCCAGTGTTCGAGACCAGTCTGGCAAATATGACAAAACCTCATCTCTACCAAAAATACAAAAACTAGCCATGCAAATGTCTGTAATCCCAGCTACTCAAGAGGCTAAGTAGGCAGAGGCTACAGGGAGCCAAGGTCGTGCTACTGTACTCCAGTTTGCATGATATATGATTAACATCCCTGATGAATCAACACCAATATCTGTTGTTTTTTGACATTTTAAGAATAGTCATTCTGACTTGTGTAAAATGATATCTTAATGTGCTTTGTTATGTGTATCGTAAGTGTACATTAAATGTAAATGACTTAAATTTCCACATCAAAAGGAAGATTTGCAGAGTGGGTTTTAAAAAATCCAGGATGCAGCTATATGTTCTGAACCAGAAACTCACTTTAGATGAGGACATAAATAGTGTGAACATGAAGGACAGAGGTAAGTATTTTAAGAAAATAGTAACCAAAGAAAAGATGTGATAGCTATACCAGGATCAAACAAAATAAAATTTAGTCAAAAACTCTGACAAGAGATAAACAAGACATAAAACACAGGCATATTTTATAGCTATTAAAAGTCGGGTTACAGACCACCAATATAAAGCAAACACCACAATAAAATGAATGACATAATTTTTAAAATTTCAACTGTATATAAAAATAATGTTTATTCTATATTAGATGAGCAATAGTATCTAAGGAAAAAATATACATATCTTAATTTAAATATTTTTTGTTACAAAAAGCTAACAATTATCTGAACCTTCACAGCAGGATGTAATCTTTTGGCTGCTAGAAATTATTCCCTCACTGGGAGTCCATTCCAAAATGGCTGAATAGGAACAGCTCCTGTCTGCAGCTCCCAGCGTGATTGATGCAGAAGACAGAGGCCAGCATCATCCTGATACCAAAGCCTGGCAGAGACACAACAAAAGAAGAGAATTTTAGACCAATATCCCTGATGAGCATCAATGGTGAAAATCCTCAATAAAATACTGGCAAACCAAATCTAGCAGCACATCAAAAAACATATCCACCAAGATCAAGTTGGCTTCATCCCTGGGATGCAAGACTGGTTCAATATATGCAGATCAATAAACGTAATCCATCACATAAACAGAACCAATGATGAAAACCACATGATTATCTCAATAGATGCAGAAAAGCCTTTGACAAAATTCAACACCCCTTCATGCTAAAAACTCTCAATAAACTAGGTTTTGATGGAACGTATCTCAAAATAATAACTTTTTATGACAAACCCACAGCAAATATCATACTGAATGGGCAAAAACTGGAAACATTCCCTTTAAAAACTGGCACAATATTGGCGGAACCCACCCCCAATATTTCAATGTAAGTTCTTTCTATTTTCCATGTGTCAGCTGGCTGAGAAATACAGTATAAAGAGAGGAATTTTACAGCTGGGCCACCGGGGTGACATCACATATAGGTAGGACTGTGACACCCACCTGAACCTCAAAACCAGCAAATTTTTATTAAGGGTTTCAAAAGGGAAGGGGGTGTAAGAACAGGGAGTAGGTACAAAGATCACATGCTTCTGAGGGAACAGGACAAAGGGCAAAAGAAGAACTACTGAGAAGGGTCCAACAAATATCACAAGGCAAAGGGCAAAAGCAGAACTACTGATTAGGGTCTATGTTCAGCGGTGCACATATTGCCTTGATAAACATCTTAAACAACAGAAAACAGGGTTCGAGAGCAGAGAACTGGTCTGACCACAAATTTACCAGGGCAGAGTTTTTCCCCACCCTAGTAAGCCTGAGGGCACTGCAGGAGACCAGGGTGTATCTCAGTCCTTATCTCAACTGCACAAGACAAACATTCCTGGAGCGGCCATTTATAGACCTCCCCCCAGGAATGCATTCCTTTCCCAGGGTATTAATATTAATATTCCTTGCTAGGAAAAGAATTTAGTGACATCTTCCCTACTTGCATGTCCATTTGTAGGCTCTCTGCAAGAAGGAAAATATGGCTTTTTTTGCCCTACCCCACAGACAGTCAGACCTTATGGTTGTCATCCCTTGTTCCCTAAAAATCGCTGTTATTCTGTTCATTTTCAAGGTGCACTGATTTCATATGGTTCAAACACACATGTTTTACAATCAATGTGTACAGTTAACAGAATTATCACAGTTGTCCTGAGGTGATGTATATCCTCAGCGTACAAAGATAACAGGATTAAGAGATTAACATAAAGACAGGCATAAGAAATTATAAAAGTATTATTTGGGAACTGATAAATGTCCATGAAATCTTCACAATTTATGTTCCTCTGCCATGGTTCCAGCCAGTCCCTCCATTTGGTGTCCCTGACTTCCCACAAGCACAAGACAGGGGTGCCTTCTCTCATCACTCCTATTCAACATAGGAGCAAGAGAAATCAGGCAAGAGAAAGAAAGGATATTCAGTTAGGAAAAGAGGAAGTCAAATTGTCCCTGTTCGCAGATGACATGATTGTATATTTAGAAAACCCCACCATCTCAGCCCAAAATCTTCTTAAGCTGATAAGCAACTTCAGCAAAGTCTCAGGATACAAAATCAATGTGCAAAAATCACAAGCATTCCTATACACCAATAAGAGACAGAGAGTGAACTCTCATTCACAATTGCTAACTCTCATTCACAATTGCTACAAAGAGAATAAAATACCTAGGAATCCAGCTTACAAGGGATGTGAAGGACCTCTTCAAGGAGAGCTACAAACCACTGCCCAACGAAATAAAAGAGCACACAAACAAATGGAAGAACATTCCATGCTCATGGATAGGAAGAATCAATATCGTGAAAATGGCCATACTGCCCAAGGTAATTTATAGGTTCAATGACATCCCCATCAAGCTACCAATGACTTTCTTCACAGAATTGGAAAAAAACTACTTTAAAGTTCAGATGGAACCAAAAAAGAACCCACATTGCCAAGACAATCCTAAGCAAAAAGAACAAAGCTGGAGGCATCATGCTACCTGACTTCAAACTATACTACACACCTGCAGTAATCAAAACAGCATGGTACTGGTACCAAAACAGAGCTATAGACCAATGGAACAGAACAGAGCCCTCAGAAATATCACCACACCTCTACAACCATCTGATCTTTGACAAACCTGACAAAAACAAGAAATGGGGAAAGGATACCCCATTTAATAAATGGTGCTAGGAAAACTGGCTAGCCATATGTAGAAAGCTGAAACTGGATCCCTTTCTTATACCTTATACAAAAATTAATTCAAGATGGATTAAAGACTTAAATGTTAGACCTAAAACCATAAAAACCCTAGAAGAAAACCTAGGCAATACCATTCAGGACATAGGCATGGGCAAGGAATTCATGACTAAAACACCAAAAGCAATGGCAACAAAAACCAAAATTAACAAATGGTATCTAATTAAACTAAAGAGCTTCTGCACAGCAAAAGAAACTACCATCAGAGTGAACAGGCAACCTACACAGAATGCGAGAAAATTTTTGCAATCCACCCATCTGACAAAGGGCTTATATCCAGAATCTACAAAGAACTTAAACAAATTTACAAGAAAAAAATCAAATAACTCCATCAAAAAGTGGGCAAAGAACATTAACTGACACTTCTCAAAAGAAGACTTTTATGCAGCCAACACACACATGAAAAAATGCTCATCATCACTGTTCATCAGAGAAATGTGAATCAAAACCACAATGAGATACCATCTTACACAAGTTAGAATGGCAATCATTAAAAAGTCAGGAAACAAGTGCTGGAGAGGATGTGGAGAAATAGGAATGCTTTTACACTGTTGGTGGGAGTGTAAACTAGTTCAACCACTGTGGAAAATAGTGTGGCAATTTCTCAAGGATCTACAACTAGAAATACCATTTGACCCAGCCATCCCATTACTGGGTATATACCCAAAAGATTATAAATCATGCTGCTACAAAGACACATGCACACATATGTTTATT